CTTTCTCCAAAACGGCTTTGTCCAGGGCAAAGCTGCACAGAGCAAAAACCAACCACACCTTCTGCCCCAGGTCTAAGGACAGGTCTTCGACGGACGATTTAGGGTACCACTTCCATCACGGTCTCCATCCCTACACAGGTCTATACAGCAGAGGTGGCAAGGCTGATCTCAAGAGATGTTTCAAGCTAAATCTTACCCCTCTTCTGTTACACTAGAATATGAAAGTTAAGGCAAAAATAGCATTTTTATATTTTTCTAAGATATAGATAATTAATACTAAACTGAGAGGATATGCCATATTCCTGAGACTGCCTTAGCACTGCTACGATACACCTAATTTCTGCTTCTCAGTGTGCAACTTCTGCCCTCCTCGACCCATCTCCTCAGCAGAGGAAGCCGGCATGGGGAGCCTCCCAACCAGATCCACAGCGACCTGCGCTGCTCTGTCAGAGGCTGCCTCCTCTGTGCACTCCACATTCTTCCTGCATGCATTTGTGATTCCTGCACACGTCCACAGCGCCTGACAAAAGTGGAGATTAATTTACTCGGGAGCTTTAACTCCAGACAAAAAGGAAGATGGAATTTTTAACAGCTCTAAAAAGTGTGAGATAAAATTACCAGTGAGCTCATACCAGACAGGTCTGAACACTTCTGGGAGTCCACCATCAAAGCATCGAATACTTCAAAGTCAGTTTTCTTCACCTGTATGATGTTGTTGACGGTACCTAGCTGGCTGGTTACTACGGGCTGGGAAGAAACAAGACACAGAATTCAGAAAAAAAAAGCTTGCAGGACTACTAGATTCTCAGAACTACACAATGAGCAGTACCGAGAATGAGCGGCACTGCTTTTCCAACATGCTAGTACCAGACAGGAAAAGCGCTCACCGTCGCTCAGCGTCAGGTTAACAGCGAGTGCAGAATTTAGGACGGGGCGGAGGGGGTGCGTGTCAGCTGAACCTGCTAGGTCCACAGCACTCCATAAATCCTTGGCCCATAGATAAGGCTAGGACCACGTTTGGGCTAAAGTTAACCATGATGGCACAAGGAGGTAAGCTTTGCTGCTAGGTTCTACGGGGCTTTCAGAGCCAGGCTAAGATCCGCCTGGCCTGAGGCAGGACAGAATACGGTTGGTACTGCTGGTTTACTACTAAAACTAGACTAGAATCCAGGGCAGAGGGTTCAAAGAGCTAAATTTACTGTGAGGTAAATTCTGCGAGGTTCTGCCAGGCCTGCCGAGACAGCAAGAAGACTGGAACCAGCAGCTCTGAATGGTTAGTTCTGAGGCAGGCAGGGACTGCTGGGTGGGTAGGGTTAAAGCTCATTTTATAGCAGAGGAGGAAGAAAAGGCCTGGTAGATTCTGGCACAATTACTGGACTACGAAAAGATCTCCAGCAGCAATAACAACATCCTGGCACATGCAGGACAGCACAGAGAGATCTGGGCTGTCAGCAGTGCCACAGTGCTTTAGAAGACAGTTTGGCACCAGACAAGAAAAGCTTACCATATCTGAGAAACCAACACCCCAGAGACCTTGTCTTGTCACCCGTTTGTTACGAAACCTCCTGTCCTTTGAGGTCAGGCCAGCGGGGATCAGAAATACCTCTTTCACCAGCTTAAACAGCCAGTTTCTGTTATTAACCAATAAATACTTTCTCTCTGAAAAGGCCAGCTGTTGGTAGAGAAACCAGCCAGTTTCTCGTCTTCAGATGCCTCAGTGAATAAATACAGCGAGTTGAAAAAAACGCTACCTCTGAAGGGTCGTGTGTCCACTGCCCGTCCACAAAGAACTTGTACTGGTGCTCTCCTTCTGGCAGGTCCAGGATTGCCACAAAGTTGTTGTGACTGGAATTTAAGACAAACAATGAGCCCTGAAACATTCTGAAAAGGACATCAATCTATAAACTGTGACAAACACAGAGTACAAGCCTCCTCAGCACGCAGAAACTTCAAAAGGCAGCGCCACATTTAAGAGAATCTCTGATGCAATCTAAAGGTAAAAAATCAAACTAAGATTAATGTTAATGATCGTTTATCCTGTGACAATAAGTCCCAACACATCCAAAATTAGCATCCACGTTCCTGGCATCAAGGAATTAGCACTGAGCTTCTGTAAAGTCATCCTCACATCTTTACGTTACTCGTTAGTATGTGAGACCTCATTTTCTCTGCGAGGCTCCTGTTGGTGGAACAGGATCAGCTTACTCGTATTTCCTTGCCTTTCAGTATTTGCCGCCATAAATTGCATTTCACAAATGGCTATGAAATAGATGAACAAGGACCAGAAGATGAAAGCAGCAACTCAATACTTCTGAGTTACTTCGGCTCTGAGTAGCTGCTGCGTGGTAATTTTGATACGCCTGTGCCATGAACTTCCTGATCCTTCACAAGCCTTTGCCAGCGTCTCAGAGAAGCTGTTCGATGCCACGTGAACAACTCAAACAGGCCACACAATGCCAGGACCTCTCTTTGCTTCTTCTCAGGTAAGGAGCGCAAGCACACCATCACAGAGCTGGTTTTGCAATTTCAGTTTGGAATAATGAGCTCTTCTACTTGAGCATACTGGATTCAATAACACGATTTTATCCAGCCTCTAAGGAGGTCCAAATATCTCTTTTCCCAGAATACCTAATCTGACAAGAAACAAACATGTCTATTTTTTTTTTCTCTTGTAAAGAAACCTTTTTGTCCTTCTTCCAGATTCATTTCACCATTTCCCATCTCCCAGGCTTTCTACTTGGAGTATGACAGTAATACAGATGTTCAATACAGATGTTCCACTGGCTTTTTTTTCCAGCTCCTGTCTTGATAATTTATTTCACATTGTTCATGCACAGAGCCATCCTCCCATCCCCTCCGTCTCCTCCGGCCACTGAGCTCCTCTCTCAAGTTTCCTAAGAAATGAAGACGCTTCTGCAGCAATGACAACGCAGGCAGCCACTCACTGAGACGAGAAACACCAGAAACCGGCAGGAGCCCAATCTCTCATGGGCCTGTCATCGCTGACAGACAACAGGGCTCAGATCAACAGCTGCACTCAGACTCTCCGCCATCCATTAAGTTTTAAATTTTTGAAAAAACATTGGTTTAAATGAAATACTTTCTAGGTACAGAATTCAGCAGAGCTCCAGAGCTCTCTAGCAGGAAAAAGCACTTAGTACCTTCACACAGATTATTCCTCACTCGTTAAGTTTCCCAGGCTCAGAGTTTCCTAAGCAGAATCCGGATCCTTCTGAGCTGGGCAAAAGCCAATGAAAAGGCAAGAAAGTACATGGGCCATCAGAGACACGAC